TATATATATACCTTATTCAATACCCATAGGCTTGGCTTAACTATGGGCTTATCTGACCTTCCTCGATGTCCGAGTGCAGCTCGTGCCATTTTGGTAGAACACCACACGCGGTTTTGACTTTCGATGGTACCGATTCTTAAACCGTATCAGTTTGATTCCTTGCTACAATACGATCTTGTTTAGTATGGTACTGTCAGGTGGTAAGACAGAAAGGTGCATGACAACCTGGTTCAGGTGGAAGCTTATGGTATGCACCTTACCTGGCGTAACAATATCTTGCCAGGCGCCCCGGTGACACGAAGTTGCGTTCCATCTGTGCGAACTTCGTGCCTGTTTTTATTAAAGGTATTAGGGCTGTCACGTTTAGGTCATGTGTACTTGTACCAACCATCCTAATTTCTCCCCGTTCCCACTTAGGTCACCTGTCATAGGTACCTTCTTTGTTGGACATTATTTCCAGCGCATGGTGGGGGGAGTTCGCTCGCTGTACTTTTTTTGTTTATTTCTCCCCTTTAGGTTGGTCAGATAAAGAACAGCTTCAACCACATGACATTGACACGATGTTTACCGAGCGAATTTCGGACGTTTCTCGAACACATTGAAGGATGCACTTATGCAGACCGACCGGACTACGCCATGTTGCGAGGTTTGATTAAGCAAGCGATGGTTCGTCGTGATGTGCAAGAATCAGATGCATTCGACTGGGAGCAGCTGCCTGCCACCAATGAAGGTCAACCTGTGAATTCCGTACAGGCTCCAACAACTCCTGCTCCGCCAATGACCAATGGTGTCGCTGGAACTGGTGGTACCGCGGTCGCTCAGCTAGCAAGTCGGCAAGCAGCTGCTGGGAACGTGGCTTCCGGCACTGGTGGTGGTCCTCAGCATACTGGCTATGGAGAGAAACATGCCCATGGTGCTCACCAGCAAGGCACTCCGTGTCACCGCCAACATCATACTCACCATCATCACCACCACCATCGATCGAGCAATCAAGTTCAAAGAGGCGTCGATACACTGGGGCTGGGGACGGCCATAAGTGTTGGGGGGACATCAGCACACCATCTAGCCAGCACGGTTAACGAATCGATCCATGGTGGTATGTCTCCGGGTCTCGGTGCTGGTCGGACTCTGTCCACAGAACTTCTCGGCGGTCCCGACAACGTGGTATTAAAGATGAAAAACGGATCACCTTTGCCTCCCCCACCGACCCCTGGAGCGGTTGGCGAGCTAGGAGGCACGGAACTTGGAAAAATGGTCACTGCTGCGGTTGACGAATGTTTGGATCATGCTGTGAAAGGTGGTCATGATAGAGACATCCTTAACGATTCACCCCTCCCCGTCGCAGCCAATGCTAATATGCAGTCCGCTATTATTGGTAGTAACGTGGGCTTTTCATCTACTGGACATAATGTGGAAGATGGCCGGTGTGGACGGCGCCTCACTCCCAATAATATGGCACTAAATGGTACCCCGGTTCATCGAACATCTCGTCGCAAGTATAGTACCAACAATAGGCCGTGTCATGGCCACGTAAATGATGGTCGTTCTGTCGGTCAGGACAATAACTACCCAAAAGCAAACGGCGAAGCATTTATGGATATGGGAAGTATCTATTCATACGCAAAAAAATCCGACAATGTTTCCGAACACCGACCTTCACGGTTGCCTGTTCTTACACCAATGCGGCAAGGTCAACGAGAGCATCCGGGTATAGTGTTAGATACACAAAACAGTGCTTCTGTTGCTACACAGAGAGCTTCGTCGGTTGTACGCTCAACGATTCCAGAACGTAACCATCTGAATGGAGATCATGCCAGTATGAACTCTCCTAAAACCTGCAGTATGTACGCCAATGCGAATGATTTGAGCGCAGCAGCCATTTGCGGTTATGCCGACCAAAGCCAGGCTAGCGCCGCCCAGATGACCAATGCCATCGCAGTTAGTACAATGGGTCGTATACCTTCGGGATCCACTTCGCGCTTAGCACGCGTGGGCAGTTTCGCAGCTGGTTCCAACACACAGATTGCTGGTTTGGGTTTGTCTAGTCAGGACCTTGTGGGAGATATGGATACCGACTGTCCAAATGTGTTCACAACGGGAACCAATTGTTTACCTATCTCTGGTCATCGCAAAATCAGCGAGCTTGCTTCCAACCGGACTGATGTTGACCGGTACGAGGATGGGATGGTAGTCTATCGTCCCGATGATTCTGATGTTGATCTAGATATTGATGCTGATGGTTGCTGTAAGGACATGAAAGGCCGCGCTGCTTCTGAATGTGGGGTTGCTGCTTCAGCAGAAGGTGCTACTGCCCCAACTTCCAACGCAGCTCATGGGGATGGAATGCTATTAACTGAGCTTGACAAAAATAACGCAATCGCTGATAAAGCTTCATCTGCTGTCCGTGTATCCCACAATCGTTTCGGTAGTCAAACGCCTCTTCGCGATCCTACGTCCTCACGAAACTCAAACAGACAGCTGAATATGATACAACAAGGCACCACGGAGGATGCTCGGCGTCGTCTCTCACTAGCAGACTCATTCATCAGAAACCACCCCAACTCAGATAAACGAAGGCTTCGGGGAGTCACTTCAGAATCCGTTCAATGTGAGAGCACTACCAGGTGTACTTCATCCGGACAAATTCTACCGAACTCGAAACCAGTTCCACTACCTCGCCAACGACCGCAAATGACAACGTGGGGTAAGTGTCGGAATAGCAGTTCCGTTGTCAGAGGTGGTCAGAACATACGGACAGACACATCCGGAAGCGGCGCGCTTCGAATGGCTTGTTCGACCTCAAACGTGAATGTCCCAGAGTTTGGTCGAAAGACTGTGTTTGGCGATAGGACAATCGGATTCCAGGGTCGAACTCTGCCAAACGGACCTCACCAGCAACTTGCAAACACCACTCTCTCAGATGCAGTCCATCCGAAACTTTTTCAGTGTGGTGGGCGAACTGTTGTCAGGCCTAAGGTCGCCAATTTCACAACTTCCACAAACAGCAATGGGACTGCAGGCCGTCCTCGTGGAAGTTGGACTCGAGGTTTGATTGAATTGCAGGAAAATAACAATGGTTACTACGAGGGAGGAGGCACGGAGCTAGGTTTTCGTGAGCGTCCAATGACTACTTGTCCATCTTCACGTCTGTCCTCTCGTGAACGTTGGGACCGATCTGGAAGGGATCGTTGGTTTAAGCACGACCGCAGTGAATCGTCTAGTGACGTGGACTCGGATGCCAGGCTTACAGCCGAGTCAAAACCAAATTTGACCCCAAAGACTTCTGCTAACTTTGCTTACTCCGATGCTCACAACGCGGCGGCGGATGGTATCGAAAACGTTCCTTATACATCCGCACACAAATTGGCAAATCACAAAACGGATGAGCACAAATCAGTTTTCATGGACCATATGATTGGTGTTGAAGGTGACGCTTTTGAAAAACCCCCTCACGCCCCCGTTCTGACAGATAATCAAGACGCTCAAGACGTCCATCCTGAGACGGCAACCGCAGTTGACGCTTTGCCATCGAAAGCTGTTTGTGATGAACCTTCTAAAACCGCGGTTCTCGTACCTCGCCCGAACGCCTATCCTGCTGCTTTCGCTACTACTGCCCTGTCCGCTCGTCGTCGACGTTATTTACCTTCATATGTTCCTGCTGAAAATGGCACTGTTTCTAGTCTGGACTCTGATCTGGTCAATGAAGCGCTTGCCAATCAGTTGGATTCTAAACTGAATGTGTGCCGATCTGAGTTCGACCTGGGACGGGAGTCTTGTCAGAAGTTTGTTGCAGTGGACGATATGTGACCGTGTCTTTCTTTATCGTGTAGTGCTTTTTAAACCAGCGGGTTAGTGTTCCATGAGATCTTATTGTGGTGGAAAATGTGTGGATGATGAGACGTGTCGAACCACCGATCTTTGTCGGTTGGATGGATGAACGTGATGTGTTTACGCATCTGTGCGAATTCCGTCTACCTCAGCTGAACCCTACAGATTTTATCGTGCTAGCACACGAGCTTATTTTATACGCTTTTCATCTAGTCTTCCTTACTTCTCACAATCCGTCAACGTGGTTGTGACTGAGAGTTCGTGAATGCGAATTTCAGAATTTGTGTCCACCACGCCTGCTGTCCCGCAATTTCATCCATATCCATCGAGGCCAAGAACCGTGCGTACTTTTGTGACTTCAAGTCTTTCGTCAGCCCGAAAAGGGCCAGTCGATTTGTGCGTGCACCACGACAAATGTGGCCATCTATTTGTCCGTCTCGTCTCTGAGCGTTGAGAGTATGCCGATGCCCGACTTGTACATTCCCCATCCGACTCTTTGTACAAAGCCCCTTGCACGCGTTTTGTACACTATAGAATCGTCAGCTTTCAGTCCGGTCAGCAGAAACCAAAGCTATGTATTTTCACACTATTTGCGCGCACTTTTGGCATGTTCCCTACGTCAGTTTGCTTCTCTTAAACTGCCCACCTGTTCTAGGGATAGACTACCTCGACAAACTCGGAATTTGCAGTTCCTAGCAGCCTCCCCACATAGCATCCGAGCATTGCAAGCGTTGATTGCCCACTCTCCGTTTCACTTGTCTTTCGCGGATCTTTCGATCCGGACTTTCTCATGAGCAGTGTTGTTGATTTCATTTCTACCTATTTTGCTCACTCTTGCCCTTCTCAGTCAGGTTATATTTGTTATTACCGCAGAATTTCTCCGCACGTACACGGACCTTTCAAAGTGAACTCTCCAACCCCCCCCCCCCAATTTCCTAGGAATCAGATCTGCCTTTTACCCGCCCTGGACTTCACTTCATTTCGCGCTTCTTCAGTTTCATTATCGGTTCCCTGAAATCGCGCGCACCTAAGGTGCACACATGCGTTTGGCCACTTGCATATATCTATATACTTTCGTCGTGTCTACAGGCTATCGGTAATAGCCTTGTCCGAAGCTATTTTTTGACTTATGTTCAAACATGGTCTATCTTATTTTCTCCCAAAATTTTATGCGCCTTTCGTTCGACTTTTGGACAGTCGTGGTGTGTAAAAAAGCCTGTTGATTTTGCCGCGTCGATTGAGAATGACAAACACTATCATCAGTGCGATCTGTGGGTAAATAAATTCACTTTGATTTGCCTTACTTCACTCGGCGGTACTCGCTTCATCCACACTGACGTGAGATGGATGGCATGGATCTATTTCATATAAGCTTAGTACCTCATGTGCTTAACCGTTCGGTTGTCAGACGACTCTCTCGACAAGGTTACAGTTGTTGTTTTGACAGGTATCCTTTGGGATTTCGAGGAAAACCGCGTATAGTTTGCACACTGACATTTCTCAGAACGGGGGCATAGGTTTCGAATGTGAGTTTGGATGCTTGGAACAGTCTATCTCGAGGTTGCGCAATGGCTAAGGGATGAGTTTGCTGACAGGCAGGCGCGTGACTGGAGCCGAACGCCGACATATCAATTTCTTCAGGAACAGTCCAATTACTAGGATCTGCCGTACTCGTTTTTTTCGACTGAATCACAGTGATCACCGTTCAAGTCATTGTTGTTCATGGAGAAGCTACTTGATTCGGTTCATGGTTCACAATTAGATATAATTCAGACCAAACGCGCAAGGTTGCCAGCGGAAAGGGACGACTATACATCACGTCTGCACCAATAATGGTATCCCGGCTAAAGTTAGGAACCGAAATTTTTCAGGTCAATTAGCGAAGTACACTCATTTGCAATTTGGTTCTCACCGGAGGTCAACTAAGTCGCAGTTGAGTCTCTCGTTTATGGTGTTCTTGAGGTCAAGTTCAACAGCACTGGTATGGACTTTTGTTCGTCACATTAGAGTGTTCCTGAGGTAATCCGTCAAGTTCGAGAGCTTTGAGATTGGATACGGGGTGTCCGTTCTGGTCAGTTTTAACGACATCTAGTGGTAGTGTTCTTTACTCTCCAGTCATGGAAATTCCGGACTGCCTGCTCTACACTGTTGTCGGAAAGGCGTTGAACTCTTAGTGTACTTCTGTCCTCAGTGTAAGCAAGACATAATGAGCTTCTTAGGCGCTTTCTGTTTAGTCTTATCTAAGCGCGTGCCACCATTCCGCTGCAAAAACCCACACCATGGTATACTGCCTAACTGTCTGTGTGGTGAATATCCAGCAGTTATGACTTATCTAATCATGTGTAATTGTTTCCCATGGTATGGCGCACCTTCCTATGTGTGTGGACCACGCTTGTCACAATCCTTAGGCTACCGAAGCAAGTTTGCTTTTGCAACTTTCGACAGACTGCTACTTCATGCTTGTGTCTTGCGAAGACGGATCCAACGGGCTGACCAAAGTGCGCTAAGGACCGGTCTCCTCTAGAATGATCCTAAAAATGGTCAAATGTGCGGCTGTTATTATCCCTAGAAAGGTGGCACCGTTTGATCATATGATCCCTCTGTTGAATGATGTTGGGCTGTTTCAAGGTTCTTTTTGGTAAAACTCTTTTCTGATAAGTTCTCCAGAATCGGCTAAATTCTTGAGGTTTTGAAACGAGAAGAAACCAACCCGAACACTCGACCCCCGCTTCAAGATTTTGTCCTCTACCGGCTAAGCTACTGTGGAATCTAACCTTCAGTCCGGCTTATGGACTTCACTGCTTATTCATCGACCTGTGCATAGTGCATTGATAGTTGATCTCCATAGGTTCGATCAGTGAGCTGCCAGTGTGACTTCTACATACGGCAACCAAGCATCTGTGTCGAAAACTGATGTTATGCCGTCGATGACTATATGACTTCTACAGTGGTCTAGACGTTGATATTATCGAGGTTGTCAGGGGTCTTTGGTGTGGATCAAAAAGGGATTTGGTAGATCTTGAAATCCGAAGTACATGGGCAAAAGAAACCGCGTTCCCAGGTATTCATTTGTCCATGCTTGAATTTCTTTTCATGTCTATCGAATCCCGACCCTCTCGATTGCTCATCATGAAAGGGTTTGCGGAGGAGCTGGTGAGTAGTTCACTCACAGCACCGCGATGAAGAATGATGCCAATTTCGGGGTATCAGTGAGTGTCGTGACCATGACGAGACCACTGCCTGTGTATGGGTTCACTTCTGGATCAAATATGAAGAGATTTGACAACCTCTTCTTTTGAGACACGAACGACACTATAGAAGCTTCTCAACACGAACACTGGGGATTACTATGTCCAAGCGATAACTAATCAATTTTGTGTGTGCTCGGTTGTACCACAACTATCACCGAACCGGAAACCCTAATTGTTTCTTTTCTGTTCGTTGCCCGAAGAAACATACAGTCAACGAAATGAGACGAGACGCATTCGATTGTACTATGTGAGGAAGCGAATCGAACAGTGACCACTGTCTACTCACAGTGGACGCACTGTTGGGGGCTTTAGATAGATCAGTTTCCAGCATGAATGGACATACTACATCGAGGTTTGCACTGATTTTTTCTGGTGAAGAATTCATAGAATCTGCTTTTGATATTTAGAGGCACCTTTCGACAATGTTCTATTGGCGGGATCATTTTCACTTTTGGATGTTATCTTGACTATACATCAGCTTCTCTGTCAAGGGTCGAGTTTACAATGCTGCGGCGCGCTCCATATCACTATACGAATCAGAAACCTGGCCTCTGCGCGCCGAGGACGTCAAAAGACTTTCAGTGTTTGACCATCGATGTCTTCGGAGCATTACCCGAATCTGGTGGGAACACTGGATCAGCAATTCTGAAGTACGTCGAATGGTATTTGGGAGAAATAACTCACCCTCGATAGATGAACTGATCACACTGCATAGGTTGCGCTGGCTTGGCCACGTGCTGCGTATGCCAGTCGACCGATTTCCTCGAAGGGCTCTTTTCGAACAACCGCGTGAAGGGTGGAAGAGAGCCAGAGGCGGCCAAACAGTGACTTGGCAGCGGAGTATAAAAACCATTACCAGCAAACTCAGCTCCACTGGTCATTGCCGTCTTCCTAGATGGGAACTCAGTGAACGAAACTGCGCCAGCTACAACCAAAGTACGAGTACGCGGTTATTACAGCTGACAATGATGATGATGATGATGATGACTATACAAGCTCAGTTTATGGGATTGAATTCACGAGAGATATTCAGAGTGGTAAATTTTTATTTGTATTAGTATGACCGCGTTCATGTTGAACTAAGCTGTCTCCATTCTAACCCGCATATATGTAAAAGTTCTGCTAGTTGGAATAGTTAAGCTGGATCCGTTTGCATGGCAACCCTCAGTGCATTCATCATCGTCTTCACTGACAGGATAACGTCAGTGTTGGACATTGATGCTTCGCTGCCGTACAAGCATTATTTAGTTAAAAGCCTTATTGCGAAGAAATGAATAAAGGTAGACGAGGAAGGAATTCATTGGTAGCCTTGCAGTCGTTCGGACGTGCACATACTTCCAGATACACTCAGGCTTTCGGAGAGCTCTCCGTATATTCTCACACGCTCGGATATCTGAGAATACAAAGAACCTGTTATGTTCACAAACTTTCCGGACAGTCCTTGCTAGGCAGTCGCGTTAAAGAGAACATACCGGTCAACCAATGCGCCTCGGAAATTCAGTGATAATAAACTTATGGTGTTATTCTAGTACCTGAATGGGAAATTTTTATCAAGGCAACTCCTTTTAGGCTGGAATCTTGGTTGCCTATCTTTGTGTTCCTGAAGAATTGCATTTAGAATCCTTTCATCCATCCTACCAACAATCTCAGTATCTGCTCGTGAGTAGAATAGGTTTCTTACGACTGAATCCAAAAGAAGTGGGGCAAACGAGTAGATGATGTCTCTTTGTCCAGTTGTGTGTCGTTGACCTCTACCGGTTTCCTAGGCCCTGACACCGATAAAGCCAGCTTCCATTCGGCTACACTGCGCTTCATGAACCCCAAATTAAGGTGAACCAGAAGCAATCACGCTCTCAAACTTTCTGGCAGCTTATTTAGTTTCTTCTATGGTCTCCTGCTGATACACCATTGCAACAGAACCAGGTTTTTCATTTTGATCCCCGCAATTTTGACCTTTTGTCTTTTTAGCTGCCTCGCCTCATATTTGGTGCGCGTAATCTTAGTCACAACCTCACACAGACCAATGGTCGTCAACCCCTACTAAAAAGTGAAAATCAAACGCTAAAATCATCAACGTCAACATTTGAAGAACTACAGTCAGTCATGTGATGTTCGACAGACTTCAATTTTGTCAGCTGTTAAATCACGTTCTGGGATGTTTGAAGGGCAATCCACTCCAGCTCTACTAGGAAGACAACCGAGAATCTGGCAGCACACTAGCTGATCGTGTCCAATTTGATCGATTCTCGTTTCCCTTTTGTGGTCACTGTTCGGCGATGGTATGGTTGTTTAACGACTGAGATTTTGGACAGTCTAAACTACGCTCGTTTTTTTGGAATGCACATTCATGCAACCGTTGGTTGACAAGCCCCCGTGCATTTGCGTTAGTCGATCGCATAGTGTTCACGTACACGCACACTAGCTCATTGAAATACCTGCGTCGCTTATCCAGGAATTTGCAAACCCTCATCGTTCGAAAACCACATGCAGCTTTGGAAGTTGAGTACACTTGACATGCACACCCCGCTAGAGAAGATCGGATCAGTTTAGGTGGTGTACTGCCAAGGCATGCCTATCCAAATGATGACCATAGCATTGCGATTTCCTAACTAATTTTTATACAGAGGCTAGCCGAAACTAACCACTTTCTTGGGCAGTGAGATTGCCTAAACTTGACCTAAGATGGAGATGCCAAGGGAGCTGACCTTGAAACTGTCTTATTTTTTCTGTATCTGTCTCGCATCCATGATGTTATGGTGCTTCAAATCTGCTTGTTCCTGGAGAAAGACTCCCACCAAAATGTCCAAACAGCCTACAACTGTAGAGTCAACTTTGACCCGGTAGATCCAACTGACTGCGTCAGTGCCACATTAGTGAGTGACCGTTCTTATCTTACATCCTGAAGGCATGCAAAGTCAGACCGACTCTAGTTTCACACAATGAGTTGATGGACAACGCAAGTGCTGCCTGACAGACAAATGGTCATTATTTGAACTGTGTGGACGCTATTCACCAAGATGGCCAGGAATAACA